AAAGCTATTTTACTGAAGAATAAAGAACCTAATCTGACTTGGTTTTACATCTATCTACAACAGATGGACAACATATATAAACTAACTACTTAGACAAAACACAAACTTTAGTATAAAGGCATGTTCTAAAACAGCATTAAATTGTATCCAAATCCATTTCAAAGTTATGATAAGTGTTTATGACTGCTGATTCAAATTATGCCTCAACCTAGGCAGAAACAGGCCTAGTGAGAAGTATTTGCTTTGAATGGATTGTTGCATATGTCAGTGAACAGTGTCTGCAGTATTAGAGCAGAATTTATTGATCATGTGATAAACATCCCGTGGCTCTGCAGAGGCACTTTAATTCACTGAGAGCTCTTGAGCGTTATGCTGAGCTTATCTCAGAAAGAGAAACTGCACATAAAGAGGGCAATTATTTTAATTTAACAGGGGGCAAGAAACCAGCTGCAGTCTATTTTGTGTAAAGTGCATCCTCAGGTTGAAGACAGCGACTCTGAGAGCTGAATGACTTGGCTAAAATTTGATGAAAAAGATTAATTTAATTTGTTGAAGTTAAAACAAGCAGAACAGCAACAATCAAAACACAAGGTAAAACAAGAAAAGCACAGGGAACAGTACATAAAGGCTAGATTTAGTGAGATAGTAGCTAAAAGCTAAAACCACCAAAACTGTTCCCAAGAGGAAAAAGAATTGTAGCTACAACCTAAACCAGGAAAACAGTTGCTAAAAGCTAAAACTAGTTAAAAAATATATAGCAACACAGCAGTTAAAAGCTAAATTTAGCCAAATCCAAATTCAATCCAAAAGCCAGAATTAGCAAAACATCAACTAAAAGCTAAAACCAGCAGAATGTCTGTATGTTCATTTTGTCTGACTGAGCCACTGAATAGATTATAATAAAACTCTCTCAAAACAGTTATTGTTTGTATGTCTACAAATGGTTAAAGTCCTGGAAGGTCACAGTGCTGCAGGACGCAGTGCAGTCTCACAGCATCTTAGCATCTTTCACTGATCTGTTTGCTCAGTAGCTAGAACTGCAGGGGGACTGTCAGGGGCCCAGTGATCTCCTTCAGGTGGGCCAATACCAGCTGTTCGAAGCTTTTAATGGCTATGGAGCAACAGGTCTAGTGGTTCGTATTTACGATAAAGGGTTTCGTGAGCAGGTGCAGAGCCAGGGGGTGGCCAGGGGTGGCCACAGCCACCACAGACAAATCATTGACCACCCCATTGGCCATCCAATGTACACACCCCTTCCACAGTGAAACAACCTTTAGGGGTTTAAATCCTCCTGAACAGTTGGTGGCAGTGTTTAACAGTTTGAAAYVTYACCRAGCTCTATCACTGAAGAAGAGTAATGACAAGGAAGTGATGTTTTCTTTATATACAGAACATAT